TTGAAAGTATCTTGTCTCCTCATTGGTCATTTTGGTCAGGTGCCAGCGAGATTACCTTTAGCTTCTTAACCATTTACAGGTGAGAGGAGTTTTCCCCTGGCCAGGAGGGATTTCAAAGGGGTTTACCCTTCCCTTTATATTTATGACAGTCTTAATAAAGACACTAATTTATATCTTATTACAACAATCTGTAATCCACACACACCCCTTTTATGTCCTTGGACTATAAAGGTGTTAATGGCCCACTTCACCTTGTTTGCAATGTTATTCTAGCTGTTTTGGTCCCAAGATATTAGTGAGGTAATATCTTTTATTGGACCAACTTCTGTTGGTGAAAGAAACCAGCTTTCGAGCAACATGGAGCTCTTCTTCAGGCCTGGACTAACAGCTCTGTCTAGCTTGAAAGCTTATCTTTTTCACCAACAGAAGTTGGTCCAATAAAAGATATTACCTCACCCACCTTGTCTTTCTAATATCCTGGAACCAACATGGCTACAACAACACTGCAAACACACAGATTAAACAAGGTAATACTTTTGAATAACTAGTTATGCCTGGTCCACAATAATTTACAGTGAAAAATTACAAAAAAGTGGGATTTTTTTCTAAATTGGTTTAATTTTGCTCATGGGTATAATAGGCAAGAAAACCACAATTAATATGTAATTATTGTTGCATCATAACTCTAATGTTAACTGTAATAATAACCTTTTAAATAACCTAAACGGCCAAGCAGTTCAGAATTTGTCATTTTTGACCATTTGACTTCCGATTGAAAAATAGCAGCTCTTCCCAGGAGAAAGCCCACGGTGGATCTTTGCAAAATTTAGCAATTCTTCTGGGCAATTATTAATATCTCCCCCTCTGTCTTTTAATTATTTTTTTACATCTTTTTCTTGCCAAATATATTGAATATGGGGGGAACAAGGAAATTTTAAAAACCCTTAGGATTAAAATATTTATTTTACAATGCAGAGATATTTCCATTCTTCAGCGTTTCACTTTGGTATCAGCACAAAAAGTCCATGATTCATTGCTGTGCTGCATTTCTATTGTCTTTACCAAGTGCTCTGTATACCAGAAAAGCGAATTGCCACGTCATGTAGTTGCTCAGAAAGGCATTTATTATGTCCAACATTTGCAGAAGTGGCCAGTTGTTTTGAGTGCCCAATTTCAGAGATTTTTGGGCCTAAATTTGAGAGGTGCTAAGTACCTACAGCTCCAAAAGAAGTCAGTGGGAGGTGTGGATGTGCAACCCCCCTGGAAATCGGGCCATATGGGTCTCAATTTGGGCACCTACCATCACTGTCACTCTTAAAATGTAGGTTTCAGAGGAACAGCCATGTTAGTCTGTATTCGCAAAAAGAAAAGGAGTACTTGTGGCACCTTAGAGACTAACCAATTTATTTGAGCATGAGCTTTCGTGAGCTACAGCTCACTTGAGCTGTAGCTCACGAAAGCTCATGCTCAAATAAATTGGTTAGTCTCTAAGGTGCCACAAGTACTCCTTTTCTTCTTAAAATGTAGGAGCTTATCTGTTAAAACAGCAGGATAAAAGTCATTTGAAACCCTTGTGTATTATTAATGTGTAAGTGCCTTTTGTCTCTGGGTTACAGTAAGTGGAGAGCTGTCTGTTTTTCTCAAAAATTAAAAAAAACCCAAACAACCTTAATGAATACTTTTTATTCAATCACAAATGTTCTGTCTGTTTTCATATCTTTTTCTAATTAAGTGCTTCTCTTCCCGACAGCAAATGGGAGGCATATGTTAGTCACAACTACTTTTTGGCATTTTGGGAATTTTACATTAAAAATTACACATACCCTATGTTTTCTGTGTAGATACAGGCTCCAATAACACATGAGAATCTACTAACATGGACCCCTGCAATTTTGTCTGGGTGCAGGTTCCACAGCAGTGGATCACTTTTTGGGATGCAGTACAAAGTTGTGGTGTGATGTGCTAGAATTAGGAAAAGAATGTCATATTTAGAATGATTGTCAATCCAGTTAGCTTTCTTACTTTAAATAAGAACCTTACAATTAGGGTTGTCAAGTGATTAAAAAAAATTAATCACGATTAATCACACTGTTAATAATAGAATACCATTTAAATATTTATGGATGTTTTCTACATTTTCAAATATATTGATTTCAGTTAACACAGAATACAAAGTGTACAGTGCTCACTTTGTATTTATTTTTGATTACAAGTATTTGCACCGTAAAAAAACCAAAAGAAATAGTATTTTTCAGTTCACCTAATACAAGTACTGTAGTGCAATCTCTTTATCGTGAAAGTTGAACTTACAAATGTAGAGTTATGTAAAAAAAACTGCATTCAAAAATAAAACAATGTAAAATTTTAGAGTCTACAAGTCCACTCAGTTCTACTTCTTGTTCAGCCAATCGCTCAGACAAACAAGTTTGTTTATTTGCAGGAGATAATGCTGCCTGCTTCTTGTTTACAATGTCACCTGAAAGTGAGAACAGGTGTTCTCCTGGCACTGTTGTGGCTGGTATCACACGATATTTACAGGCCCGAAGCACTAAAGATTCATATGTCCCTTCTTGCTTCTGCTCAATAACAATCCAAAGCAGTGCGGGCCAACGTATGTTCATTTTCATTATCCGAGTCAGATGCCACCAGCAGAAGGTTGATTTTCTTTTTTGGTGGTTCGGGTTCTGTAGATTCTGCATTGGAGTGTTGCTCTTTTAAGATTTCTGAGAGCATGCTCCAGACCTTGTCCCTCTCAGATTTTGGAAGGCACTTCAGATTCTTAAATCTTGGGTTGAGTGTTGTAGCTATCTTTAGAAATCTCACATCGTACCTTCTTTGTGTTTTGTCAAATCTGCAGTGAAAGCATTCTTAAAATGAACAACATGTGCTGGGTCATCGTGCAAGACTACTATAACATGAAATATGTGGCAGAATGCGGGTAAAACAGAGCACGGGACATACAATTCTCCCCCAAGGAGTTCAGTCACAAATTGAGTAATGCATAATTTTTATAACGAGTGTCATCAGCATGGAAGCATGTCCTCTGGAATGGTGGCCGAAGCATGAAGGGACAAACAAATGTTTAGCATATCTGGCACATGAATACCTTGCAACACCGGCTACAAAAGTGCCATGCGAATGCCTGTTCTCACTTTCAGGTGACATTATAAATAAGAAGAGGGCAGCAGCGTCTCCTGTAAATGTAAATAAACTTGTTTGGTTTAGTAATTGGCTGAACAAGAAGTAGGACTGAGTGGACTTGTAGGCTCTGGAGTTTTACATTGTTTTGTTTTTAGAGTGCAGTTATGTAAAAAAAATCTACATTTGTAAGTTGCACGTTCACAACAAAGAGATTGCACTACAGTATTTGTATGAGGTGAATTGAAAAATACTATTTCTTTTGTTTATCGGTTTTACAGTGCAAAAATTTGTAATAAAAATAATATACACTTTGATTTCAATTACAACACAGAATACAATGTATAGAAAAATGTAGAAAAACACCCAACATATTTAATACATTTCAGTTGGTATTCTATTGTTTAGCAGTGTGATTAAAACTGTGATAAATTGCGATTAATTTGTTAATCGTAATTCATTTTTTTGAGTTTATCCCATGAGATAACTGCAATTAATCAACAGCCCTACATTCAATACATTCTCACAGAACAACAGGTGAACTGATTTCCACAACCAATAAGGCAGCTTCCATTCCAACAGAGCTGAGCTCATGAATTTATACAGCAAAGGTTGGTTCTGAGACTACAAATCTTGACAGACTTTAATTGTGAATGGTTACACAGGAACTTGTATTATCTGTATGATCATGGTATGTTATCTTCTGTAGAGTGTTGGTATGTGTGTGTATGTATGCATGTATATTACTTTAGCTGACATAATGCATGAAGCATTTTAAGAATGTATAAAGTTTAATATAAAAACATTTTCAGGAAAAAGAATGAGGAGTACTTGTGGCACCCTAGAGACTAACAAATTTATTTGAGCATAAGCTTTCATGGGCTAAAGCCCACTTCATCAGATGCATACAGTGGAAAATACAGTAGGAAGATATATATATACACACACACAGAGAACATGAAAAAATGGGGGTTGCCATACCAACTCTAATGAGAGTAATTGAGTAAGGTGGGCTATTATCAGCAGGAGAAAAAAAAGTTTGTAGTGATAATCAGGATGGCCCATTTCAAACAGTTGACAAGAAGGTGTGAGTAACAGTAGGGGGAAAATTATCATGGGGAAATAGTTTTTAGTTTGTGTAATGACTCATCCACTCCAAGTCTTTATTCAAGCCTGATTTAATGGTGTCCAGTTTACAAATTAATTCCAGTTCTGCAATTTCTCATTGGAGTCTGTTTTTGAAGGTTTTTTTGTTGAATATTTGCGACTTCTAAGTCTGTAATTGAGTGTTCAGGGAGGTTGAAGTTCTCCAATTGGTTTTTGAATGTTATAATTCTTGATGTCTGATTTGTGTCCATTTATTAAGTGCACCAAAAGTAACATGTATTACATTCTGAAATTACATTTCATAAAGCAAATGTGAATTGTCCAGACTCTCTCTAGTAGAAAACTAAAGGTGTGTGTGCTTTTTCTGTATGAACTTTATTTCGACTGAGTGAAAAAGATTTGTGACAGCTGGTTTGGAGTCTGTGATATCTTAAATGTTAGAACTAGATAGTTTCCCCATAATCTTAGGCTTCATGGCACCCGTTTTAGCCCGTTGATTTCATTAAATCATTTATCTTACATAGTTACTGAATTACAGTGCTTTAATTAAATGTGTCTTAGACATTTAGGAATAGTTTATTTGAATAGGTCATTTAATTATACTTTATCTGTAAGAAAGTATTAGCTGAGTTAGCAAGGCCATCTGTAATGCCTTTTAGTTCACTCACACCGAATTGTTCAGATAAAGACTTTCAAGTGCTGTCTAAATAAGGAAGAAGCCTTGGTAAGGTTAAGTGTAATGAAGGACACCAGAGAAGCATACACCCTCGACAAGTGGTAGAACATAAACCATTTGCTGCAGCAGTGGGCTTTTTCAATTTTTACCCCCTTGTTTTTCAAAAATATTAAAAAATAAGAATGCCTGTCCTTCAGGATTTCAGGGAAGATGAAAGCGAGGAGGAGGAAGAAGAAAGGGTGGGTGGCAGTGATAACTTTGAAAAGGTGCTCACTTCTTTTTTCACTGTTTTAGTTTACTGATATTGAAATGCTTTCCCTTTCCTTTATAGGTGTTCCTTAAGCCTGTTATTGAGGACAGAAACATGGAACTGGCCAGAAGATGCACTGAAAATATAAGTGATGTAAGTGACTGTAACCATTTGTGTCCTTCAATTATATTGCTTTCTTCTAAAGGTTTTATTTGTATTATTCTTATTTCTTCAGATTTATAAAATGTAGCTATAGGTGCCCATCCTAGGTTCTGGGTGCCTACTCAATAGATTAAAACATACAAAAGAATATAAATGGGCCCCAGGAATATGTGTATGAGGAAACTCCATTAAAATGTTACAGAATCTCATGAAGGCACTCAATTAACAAATTCCAAATGAGTTGTTTTAGAAATATAATGTATGTCTGCATTTGGCATGAACACCTTGGATCAGATCTGTAGTGGGCATAAATTGGAGTAGCTCTGTTGGCTTCACTGAAGTAATATCAGCTTTATGTCAGCTGAGGATCTGGCCCCCTGAGTGAATTATGAAAGTGAAGCTTTGAGCTTGAGTTTGTATTTATTGCGGTGCCCCTCCTGGAAACTTGAATCCCAGGAGGAACTTTGCAACTGTGCACTAATTGGGGTTCTGTTTTTGATTAGACACAGAGTGACAGCTCTCCTTCGTGGACTAAATATATATGGTGACTAACAGCAAAACAGCCCATTATATAAGAGATGGTGATTTGCCTCTAAAATAATCTTTCCAGCCAACTCTAGCCTGGGATGTTTTGGCAATTGATTGATTAGTAGGACTGCAAAGTGCAAAGTTCATCTTGTATTGTAACATGGTGCATAAACTTATCGTAGCATTATTATCCAAGGTGAATAAGTATGTTGACCTTATGAGATTAATACATGCAGAAACTAGAGTATAGAGGATGCAGAAAATTCATTACTGGAGGACATTTATTAGGAAAGAATAGATGGCCACTAGAAAAATGGTACATCTGGAATGTTTAGGAGCTGCTATGCTGGGAAGAGAATGCAGCTTGACAGGGTCAAATCTTCTCTTTTGCCCGAACACTGTGTGGGAATACTTAAATCTTGGTGTGGGCTGAATATTGGATATAGCCTTAAGAGAAGCCAGTAAGGTGATTACCCAGTAACATCAAATTATCTTAAGAGGTAGTACAGGCTATTAATATTTTTATCAAAGGTACTGATGGTTACCCATGTGTTTTTGTTTGGAAATGTACTGTATATGACACAATACCTGTGAAGTCAGGTAAAAGCCAAAGTAAAAATGAAGCATTAGGCTGACCTGAAATCCATTTATTGTTTCCGTACTACTTATTTCTAGATATGATTGCTGTTATAAAGGCAAAAAAATACCCTGAACAGTGTTGATAAACTATTTGTTTTAATTAGAAAGGAATTACTATTGAAAAGTGTATCATTGGTGGTCATGGTGGCTGTTGCTGCTGTTAATCAGTTGATAAATATTGTGGAGATATCTTTCTTTGATTTTTCTGTGAAGGTTTAGGGGCTAAGATGAATATATGAATTAAAATGAGGTTTCAGACCCTGTAATTGTTCAAAGATGTCGCTTTTGCTGAAAGAGTGTGTTAGATTTTCACTGAGATATGTGAAGCTTTCAAAGGATAATGATTTCTGTATGATATTATTATAAGAAATGCAATGGTCCAGAACCAATATAATTTCAAAGGGAATTCTCCCTATTAATATACTAAAATGGAACCCGCATTTTGGGCCTGATCCAATGCTCACTGAAAACATTGGATGTGTTTTTATTGGCTTTTATGGGTATTGGATCAGGTTCAAAGTGAATTTTTTTTAATCCCCCCAAACCTTCACCATAATTGAATTTTCACTATTACTAGAAAAGTCCTACAGTACTCAGGGAGAAAATTTCCCCTATCACTATACATCTTCATTCTAGGAATCGTGCCAGAACCTCTTGACCCTTTTTGGTTACAGGGGAGACACACAGCTGTGAAGGATTTCTCGGGGGATTGTCTTTACTCACTTCTGGCAGCACCTGCACAAAGTTTGGGAACAGAGCTCAGTGAATGTTCCAGTTTGCTTTTGGATCCAGCCATGTTCATAGTTCTTTACATTTGCTTTTTTTTTTAAACGTTTGTGCAAAGTACTTTTTGTTTGCATGACTGTTTAGGGAGGAGCTATTATTCATGCAAATATGGAAATAGTTTAGTGTATTCACTTGGTAATGAACAAAGTTGTACTTGAAAACCTGTGTGTGTGTGTATAAATGTAAATACATGCCCAAGTACATGCACTCAGAGGTTTCAGACCCAAATTTGCTCATTACCATGTAGAAAGGAAAGGGACTGGAAATGAAGGTAATATGTATAAGTCCAACATAAGTGGGTTTCAGTGACTTTGTGTGGCTTGCAGTTTTACCCTAAGGTGACCTTGTGACAGCAGCTCATGACCTTGTGACTACAAGGCTGGGTTATTCCCTTTCCTTCCTTGCAAGGCTGTCAACACAGATACTCTGTCAGAGTGCAATGGCATGATTGTTCATGGCTTGAGATACTGTGATCATATTATGTTCACCCTGAGTTCTTTATAATCTGACTTTAAATTGGCACTGTTATTTTTAAAGCCCTTTACGGCATGCAAGCCTTGGGTCTTGTATGAGAGGATATCCGTTCTCATGTTCCACTGTTTAACAGAGTTCAAGATGCCTTTAATTCTCACTTACGTTGGACTTATGTGTGTTACCTTCCTTTCCAGCCCCTTTCTTTTCCACATTTAAATTGGACCCCTTAATTTGTTGTTATTGTTTGTATTTTAAAAGGGGACACAGGGTGGTGTTATGGGGAAAGTAGGAAGCTGAATAAAGTTATTAAGCAAATTATCATAGTCCTTTCTGTAAAAGGGAAATAGCTTGCCTCTTGAATCATCATACTGCATTTCATATGTGCATGTTACTAATGTTTCTTTATCACCTGCAGCAAATTCCCTTTAAACATAATGCTACTTACCATCTAATTTGCCACATACTGTAGTCCAAATTGTAGTTCTTCTAATTCAGCATCTCCTTGCCATCGGCTGGACATGGTGAAGATTAGATCCCGCCAGGACTTTAATTACTGTTTTTCTCAATTAATAGTGTTTAATGATGGTTAATAAAAATTAATAGAAAATGCATTTGTTGCAGTTCTGGTTTCTTTTCTTTTCTTTTAACTACAAAAGAATTTGAAGTACTACACTGTGGTTCTGAGAATTGTCAGTAGACTGGAGACAAAAAATTATTTATTGTTGGTTAAAATGAGAAAAGTAATTACGACCCAGTTAACTATTGTTTCAAGCTGCTTTTCTCAGTATTGGATAGAAAATGTGGATGCATGATAAACTGTGTCTTAATTAAATCCTCATTGAATATCTCATTGGTCTAATGTTTCAGAGTTTGACTTTTCATCTTAAGATTTATATCCAGTTTGAAACAAATTGTTCAGGATATAATTTGTTGTTGTTAAAAGCTAATACTAACCAATGTACAGTATACCAGTGTTTCCAGAGCCAGATTCTGCCCTCAGTTACACATGTGCAACTCTATGGACCATATCCATATGACTTCAGTAGGGCTGCATTGGTATAACTGACTGAATTGGATCTGGCAGAATTTGGTCCGTTTGACTCTTCTTTTGCAATTGTAGCCTACAACTACTCAGTGTAGTAGTTGTGCAGAACTGTTGTGCCTAAATGTGAAAACTTGTCATTTAAACGTTATATTTTTAAAATGGAAGCAATTTGAAAAACAGTATGAAGTCATTAAGGGCCCAATCCAGCTCTCGTTGAAATCAATTTAAAGACTCACATTAACCCCAGTGGAAATTGGCTCAAGCCTTAAATTGTGATATATAAGGTCATGTTTTCCCATAAGAGGCCAATTTATCCAAAAAGGGGCCTTAAAAATCAGTATATCTTTGTCAACATCTGAATAAAAATAATTCACAGTGAATTTGAGGGAAAAATGTATACCTGTATATTTACCTAAGTGGCTGCATATGCAGCTTAATCTTAAAAAGTTGTAAGTATATTTTTATCATATTTCAAACAAATTCACAGGAACAATAACTTTCACTTTATTGATGGATTAGAGCTGTAGTAGGATGGTTTCCTGTTCTGAACACAGTGTCACTGTTTTATTTTACACACTATATCATACATACATCCATAGCTTATACTAGTAGGCTGTTTAAGAGTCTTGAAGTGTGAAAGTTACATTTGTGTGTGTGTCTGTGTGTACACATATGTAGTGGAGATGCAAAAACTGTTACTTTTTAATGTTTTCCTTCAGTATGGTACCTAGGGAAAAACTCAAATTCCACAGCAAGTCATAGAATTTCTGCTATTAACTTCAATAGCAATTGATATAAAGTAGCAGAATAGAAAACTATTGTGAATATTACTGTTGAAATCTTTGATTCCCATTTGTTGTAAAACAGAATTGTGGTGGTTTTAATATCCTGTGAAATAAGAGTCAAAGAGACACAAGGCCAAATGCAGAACTAGTGTAAAGAAAAGTATTTCCACAGAAGTTAGTTGAATTATGACCAATTATATCAAGGTCGGATTGTCCCAATGGGTTTATAATTATTAGTTAAAATTATACAAGTATAAAGGACACAAAAGGTATATATTTGGCCTGAGATTTTCAGAGGAGCCTAAAAAAGTTAGACATCCAACTACCATTGAAATTCAATGGGATTTGGGAGCCTAAGTCCCAAAGGAAGAATTTTTCATAATCATATCTTGTGAGGTCTAAGAGATCCAGTCATCCTTGCATAATACTTTGTAATGAATAGGAGGTCACTTGCAGGCAAAAATTCACACTTGGCCAAATTAATATTTTACTCATCCAAATTTTAAACCCCAAATTTGAATAAGAATATAAGCTTCTATGCTCATTTCTTCCAGTCATTGCTTGTATTCACCACATATCCCCACCATTTATGCTTCAGAAACTTCTTGCCTACTTCATACATATTTCAAGTGCAAAAATGTCACTACAGTATTCCGTATGTCCTTTTTCATCTTCCAATTGCTTGATGCCAATTGATGCAAAAATGTCTGTAGCAGAACAGAACATCTAGGATC